TGGAACCTATGTCCCCTGCAAGGGAAGGGTGAAGTCTTAACCACTGGACTGCCAAGGAAGTCCCCATAGATTTATGTCCTAAAAAGGCATGGTGGAGGCCAGCAAGTATTGGTAGATGGGTTGTACAGAAGCAATAATGAGATTTCAGGGTTATTTGGAACTATCTGTTAAATAGTGTTTCTAAATTGAACTCTCTAATATGGGCATTTAAAATACTTGAGGTATCATAATTTCACTGGAAGTGTATTAAACTACCTCATGTTTTTGTGAGTCGTGTGTAAATTTAAAAGTCATTATTGTGTACAATGCTAGTGGTAACATAGGTTGAAAAAGCCTTTTAAGGGACAGCTTGGCCATAGATGGTTGTACATGGCTGAAGCAAAGGAGACTGAGAGGATTTGAGGCAATAAACATATCCAGTTGGCTCTCCATGTCCGTAGTTTTGTATCTGTGGATTCAACCCAGTGTAGATTGAAAATATTTGGAAAAAAAAATTCCAGAGAGTTCCAGAAAGCAAAACTTGAATTGCTGTATGCGTGTGTGTCAGTTGCTCAGTCATGTCTGACTCTTCGATCACATGGACTTTAGCCCACCAGGCTCCCCTGTCCACGGAATTCTCCAGACAAGAATACTGGAGTGGGTTGCCATTCCCTTCTCCAGAAGGGGATCTTCCTGACCCAGGGATCGAACCCAGGTCTCCTGCATTGCAGGAAGATACTTTACTGTCTGAGCACCAGGGAAACTTGAATTGTTGTATACCTGCAACTATTTACATAGCATCTACATTGTATCAGGCATTATAAATAATACAGAGATGATCTGAAGCATGGGTTCCCAACCCTGGGCTGCAGACTAGTACGTATTAGGAACTGGGCAGCAGAAGGTGAGCAGTGGGCAAGTAAGCGAAGCTGCATCTGTATTTACAGCCACTACCCGTTGGTGCTCGAATCATCCTGAACCACCCCTCCCCCCATCTGTGGAAAGATTGTTTTCCCATTGTAAAGTGTAAATTTATACTTTATGATCAGTATTAAGTATACAGGAGGATGTGTGTATGTTATATGCATACTGCATATATAATGCTATTTTATATAAGAGATTTGAGCATCCAACAAAGTCTGGTATCCAAGGGGCTCCTGAAACCAATCCCCCATGTATGTAGAGGGATGACTGTACTGGGGTAAAAAGCTGTGTTATGTTCCCCAGCGTTGTTGTTGCTGCTGCTAAGTCACTTCAGTCGTGTCCGACTCTGTGCGACCCCATAGACGGCAGCCCACCAGGCTCCCCCGTCCCTGGGATTCTCCAGGCAAGAACATTGGAGTGGGTTGCTGTTTCCTTCTCCAATGCATGAAAGTGAAAAGTGAAAGTGAAGTTGCTCAGTCGTGTCCGACTCTTCGCGACCCCATGGACCGCAGCCTACCAGGCTCCTCCGTCTATGGTATTTTCCAGGCAACAGTACTGGAGTGGGGTGCCATTGCCTTCTCCCCTCAGCATTGTTAGGTGGGGCTATAAATCAGTGTGCTTCCCACCATTAGTGGAATGGCTCAATAAAGTGTTGCCTTCTGCAGTACCCTCAGCAGGTGTGATAAATCTCTGTGACTTAAGACAAAAAGGTTAGCAGGATGTATTGCTGAATGAGAAAAGGAAGTTGCCAAAATATAATGTTGCAATATGTGATATATATGTATTTAAATAAATGCAAAGAAATTGAGGATTATGAATCTGATAAGAGTGGGTATCTCTAGGGAGGAGGATAGCAAGGCAGACTTTAGCTTTGTAATGTATTCTTTTTCTTACATGGAGAACATGTACATGAGAGGAGAAAGTTATCTATAGTATCACAATCCCATTTTTCTCCTCCTTCCCGTTTCACCTTTAATTCCTTCTGCCTCTATGTTTAACAAAACAGAGAGCAGTGTTTAAATCACCTAAAGTCATAGGTGCACAATATGTGAGGCAATTCAGAATTTTCAGATGCCAATTGAAGCATGAAGCCAAGGTGGCCAGAATGTGGTTGAATGGATTGGAGGTGAAAAAAGTCAGCTTTGGGCAGTGGAAAGAGTGGTTGGATGCTGGCCCCACCTCTGTGGGTGACTGCCTCTCTGAACTTGGCCAGCCTGGAGCCTTTCCAGGCCATTACTTAACATCCCCTTATAAAACATTTAACATCTCTCACGTGCATGCTCAATTGTGTCTGACTGTTAAGGTCTCTCATTTTAACTCTTAAAGATCTGAGTTTTTTCCTTTGCTTTCTTCTTTTTTCCTAAGATCTTGGGTTCTTTAAATAACTCCATGGAAAGTTAAAGGCTGTGATACTACACAGAGCCTTGTCCTGAATCCCTCCTTATCTGCTTTTTAGTAAATAAGTGAGAGTTGGCTATATTCCCAAGTGTGGACACTGCATACCGCCTGGGACTGCTGTGGTCGTTTATCCAGACTCTCACCCAGGGTTGCCAGTAGCTCCAAGAGGGGAAGGAGAAAAAGGTCCCCATCAGAATGGGTCAACTAGAGCAAGGCACCCCCTTCTCCGGAAGGATGCAGCCCCATGAGGGATTTGTCTTGAACTTTAACCGAAGGCAGCAGCCTTGTTCCTATCCCACCCTGACAAAAGATCTTGCTCTTTATCTCTCTCCACTCTATCCTTCTCCCCTTTCTAAAGACTGTCATTCCCATCCCCTCTTGTTCCCAGATGATGACAGAGACGTCCATTGGTTACCGATATTGCCAGTGTCTTCCTGCACTTTGCCTCCATTTCTGGGGTTTGCTGATGCGTTTTGTTTAACTGTGCCCCAGTGTGACTTCCCAGGTCTGGAAAAGTCCTTCTACCCTGGCTCCTTTCATTCAGTTTGGGCACCCACCCTCTTGGTTCCTTTGAGACCTGCTCTGTCTTGTCTAATATGGGTGACCAGTCTTTCCTTTCAAAAGCCCCCGTGCTCTTGGCTTTCCAGCCTTCATCTACTCCATCTTCCTATCTCTGAAAGGCTTTAGTCTTTCCTGACCCCTCCGTCACCCCTTCCTCACTGGTGTTTCGCATTTAGACATTTACGCATTTGCGCATGTTGCGCATTTAGACATTGTTCAAATGTTCCGCACATCTCCTCTCCTCTGCCTGCCCAGTCCTTCCCAAGGAGCTCCTTACTCCTCAGTGAGAGGTAAAACTTTAAAAGAAGCTGATTATCCCTACCACTTCATACCTTCTGGGGTGGCCTTATTAAACAAACAAAGCAAATAAAAACCTCAGAAAATAACAAGTGTTGGCAAGGATGTGGAAAAATTAGGACCCTTGGACTTTCCTGGTAGCAGTGTAAAATGGTTCAGCCATTGTGGAGAATTGTCTTGTGGTTCGTAAGTTAAACAAACAATTACCATATGATCCAGCGATGTTAGCTTGGGGGGATATAAATCAGAGAATGGGAAACAAATGCTGAAAACCTTGGACGTGAATATTCAGAGAAGCATTGTTCACTGTTAGAGTAAGGACATTGGGTAAACAAAATGTGGTATCCATACAATGAAATATTACTCATGAAAAGAAAGTATTGACACGTGCTACAATACGGGTGAACCTCCAAAACTGTGTGCTGAGTGAAAGAAGTCAGACACAAAAGGTCACTTATTGCATGATTACACTTTTATGAAATATTCAGAATAAGTAAATTTGTGGAGACAGAAAACAGATTAGTGGTTGTCAGGGACTGGGGAAAGGGAGAAGGGGAAGTGACGGCTTCATGGATGTGAGGTTTCTTTTTGGAGTGATGGAAACATTTCAGAACTGGATAGAGGCGATGATTGCATATTACACTTGTATTAACTGCTGCTGAACTGTACACTCCTAAAATGATTAGTTTTCTTATGTGAATTTTACCTCAGTTTTTAAAAATCTGAGAAAAAAGAATTGGCCATGACTCCCCCTAGTTAAAAAAAAAGATAGACAAAAAGAAATTAAAGAAAAATTAGAGGTGAGGTTCTAGAGTTAGCTTGTCCAGTCTGGTTTTTTAAAAAAATCCAGGTGACCTGTGAAAAGATAATAGACTCAAATCCAGTCTGAAAGATAAAATGATGCCAGTTTAAAGCTACAAATTTGATCTTTACCTGAAAGTAGGTTTGGCTTAGGGTGAGAAAACTGACGAGGGGGAAATGAGGAAGGCACTCGTGCCTTCACGTGGGCCCAGGACCTGGTTGGCAGAAAATTATGGGGGGGCATTGGAGAAGGAAATGGCAACCCACTCCAGCGTTCTTGCCTGGAGAATCCCAGGGACGGTGGAGCCTGGTGGGCTGCCGTCTGTGGGGTCGCACAGAGTCGGACACGACTAAAGCGACTTAGCAGCAGCAGAACAAGTCTGGTCCTTTTCATTCTTCATGAAACTATTCTTTTTAAAAATTTTGCCATTATTTAGTGTAGGCCTTATCTTTAAAGATGTGATTCAGGTAAATTAGGATGCTTCATAACTGGGCAGAAAAAGAGTTGTTGATTCTTCACATCAAGAGAGGACTCTGGGCAGCTTTCAGATGGCAGTGTTTGTGTGTGTGTGTGTGTGTGTACGTACGTGTACGTGTGTACGTACATGCTCAGTTGTGTCTGACTCTTTGCGACCCCACATACTGTCACCTGCCAGGCTCCTCTGTCCATGGGCTTTCCCAGACAAGAATACTGGAGTGGGTTGCCATGCCCTCCTCCAGAGCACCCTCCCGGTCCAGGGATCAAACCCAAGTCTCTTACATCTCTTGCATTGGCAGGCAGGTTCTTTACCACTAGCGCCACCTGGGAAGCCCCAGTCTTTTCATAGCTGCTCCTGAGATCACAGAGGCAGGAAGTATCACTAAATGGTTATTAAAGAAGTTGTAAGTTTCCCTAGTTGTGAATTTTTTTCTTGTTAAAAAAAAGATGTGTGGCCGCATTCATCTCCATTTACAAAGGACGTGCTGGGAACAAGCTGCTTTACTTTTTGCCCTTTTACTTAATATTCATCTTTTCCTTTTTCATCCCCGCTACCCCCCAGATCAGCAACGTCTTGTTTTTCATTTTACCTCCCATCTGCATGCGCTTGTTCCGTCAGTACGCAACGTGCTTCAACAGCGGCATCTACCTGATATGGACTCTCTTAGTTGTGGTGGGTAAGTGGATTCGTTTGTGAGCATGGGCTGAAAGGGAGGAAGTGGAACTTCGCAGACTCCCTGGCCCCTTTGTAAACCAAAGTCACTCTGACGTCTTAACAAACTTTTCTGTTGTTTCCTGGACTCCAGAAGGAGGACTCTTTTGAATATGGGCTTGATAACAAGGTTGACCGTAATTATCACTTAATTGCATTTGAGAGTTCATTTATATAATAGTCACTGGTGTTGTGCCAGTGCAGTTTTATGTGAACTTCTGAGGGAAGTCTTGTGAAACAATTGTATTTGGATGAAACTGTGGTTTCTAAAGGGCTAAAATTAAAAAAAACAAAAAACAAATTCTAGATGTTTGATCCTTCGTAATTCTGGGAAATACTTGTATAATTTTTGTTTCCTTCCACAGGCAGATTAGGAATTCTTAACTGTGAGAGAATGTTGACTTTTGATTGACTTTTCCCATGAAGGCTCAGTGGATGAAGATGCACTGTCCTTGTGCAATTATTAAAGTTCTGATTTGTTGGTGTTTGGGCCCTGCTTCAAATCCTCTTTCTAGACGTGAAGTCTGTATGCCTTGATGGTGTAGGTTTCGTCCTTCTACTTCTTTCCTCAGAGAGAGTGATTTGGTAATTTCGGTAGTCGTTTAGGAAAAGGCTGTCCTTAATTGGTGTGTTGAATTTGTGACTCTGTTCTTCTCTGTGACCTTTTTTTATTGGCTGTGATTGATTCTAGGAATTGGATCCGTCTACTTCCATGCAACTCTTAGTTTCCTGGGTCAGATGCTAGATGAACTTGCAATCCTCTGGGTTCTGATGTGTGCTTTGGCCATGTGGTTCCCCAGAAGGTATCTACCGAAGATCTTTCGCAATGACAGGTAAGCTTGTACTAAATTTTTGCATTTACTACTAAGTGCGGTACCCCATTGGAGAAGGCAATGGCACCCCACTCCAGTACTCTTGCCTGGAAAATCCCATGGACGGAGGAGCCTGCTAGGCTGCAGTCCATGGGGTCGGGAAGAGTTGGGCACGACTGAGCGATTTCACTTTCACTTTTCACTTTCATGCATTGGAGAAGGAAACGGCAACCCACTCCAATGTTCTTGCCTGGAGAATCCCAGGGACAGGGGAGCCTGGTGGGCTGCTGTCTATGGGGTCACACAGAGTTGGTCACGACTGAAGTGACCTAGCAGCTTAGCAGCAGAAGTACCCCATTTGACAATGTATATATTAACAAATATTACACCCTACTGAGTCTAACCTGGTGATGACCTTTATCATATATTCAATATCCACTGATTACACTGTCAGAGAAAAAATTCTGCCAGATAAAAGAAGTAATTTTAATATACTCAGGGAAAGAATTTATCTAATGTTCATTAGGAACATAAAGTCAATTATCTCCCTTATTGGTACTGGCAAAACTAGAAGGTTCAGTGGGGGAGAAAAGACTGAATGGTGGTTCAAAGACCTTTGATGTCCTGCTGGAACATCTTATTGGGTGTGTCCCAGCTCTACCACTTTTATATATTTGCAGTAGAATGCATACTGAGGAATTAGTTCTTGGAGCTATAGATACTGTAGTATTCAAATTGTGTCGGTTTGCTTTTGATGAGAGCTACACACCAACACACACACATATACATACACATTCAAGCCAAAAACCCAGAATTTTAGGAAGAGATGCCTTTTAATATCCATTGTGTTGTGCTTATATGGTGATTTATCCAGTAAATAGTTCATGGACACTTACAATGAAGTTTTCTAGGCACTAGAATATAACAGTAAACAAAACGGCAAGGTCTCCACCCTAAGTGAGCTTATATTGAAGTTGGAGAAATTATGAATCAATAAAAAAATAATATAATGTTAGGGTGTGAAAGTACCATGATGAAAAATGAAGCCGGTAAGGGGGTCATGGTGACTTGGAGTGCTGACTTAGAGTTTGGTCAGGGAAGGTCCTTTCTGAGGCGCTCTTGTTAATATCTGAAGTAACAGAAGACATCATCATAAAGATGAGAAATGATCCTAGAAACATATGACCTATACATTTCTCTGTACACACTGTTTTGTTAAAATATATACAGATAAATGGGCTTCCCAGTTGGTGCTAGTGGTAAAGAATCTGCCTGCTGTCGATACCAGGAGACACAGAAGATGCAGATTTGATTTCTAGGTCAGGAAGATCCCTTGGAGGAGGAAATGGTAACCCACTCCAGTATCCTTGCCTGGAGAATACCATGAATCAGAGGAGGCTGGTGGGCTACAGTCCATGGGGTTGCAGAGAGTCAGACACAACTGAGCATTCATGCATGCTATATGGATAAATAATCTAAAAATATGGATTCAATCAAGTAAGCTGTGTGTTCCCATGGAGGAACTATACTGGAAAAATAAGAGTTCATTGTAGTTTTCCTGGTACCCTGAGTGGAACTAGGAGTGATGCAGCAATTAGAGATGCAGGCTCTTCTTTATGGATGGAGGTGGAAGAACATTCATGAAACACGCTGGCTTCAAAAAGCACATTGTAGAACTGTGTTTGTGACACCCTCGTTTTAGAATGAATGAAGCCTCTTTTTGACTGTATGTCTTCAGATATGCACAAACATGTCTAGAGGGTAAGGAGCCACTACCATTGGGCTCTTCTTAGGAATGGGAATGGAGAGAGAACTTTCACTTTTACCTTTAATCTATACTGTTTTACAATTTTTTTTTTTACAAATTTTTTTTTTTGACAAAGTGCACGTGTTAATTTTTAATCCTAAAAAATATATTATTAAATGAGGTAGGAAGAAAACACACTTTATTCATTCATTCATTCTTTGGCTGCACTGTGTGGCCTGCGGAACCTTAGTTCCCTGACCGGGGATTGAACCTGGGACCCTGGGACCCGGCAGTGAAAGTGCTGAGTCCTATCCACCGGACTATGAGGGCATTCCCAAGAAAACATACTTCAAATGGATTAGCTGTACAGTCTTCATCCAGGGCAGCAGGATTTGAATTAAATAGTATTATCTTTAAACACCATTGAACAAAAAGAAGTATCTTCAAGTGGAAAGGAAGCTGTTCCTGGTCTTAGATGAAATATGGTCTCCCTGGTGCGGAAACCTCCTGAATGCAGGACGTGTACTTTAGAAATCAGAGGTAGCCTCGTCCAACCTGCTGTGTTTCAGTTGTGTTTCTGGTTTCCTTGTTCAGCCTCAGGAGAGATGGGGGTGATCAGAAAGCTGCCGGAGGAGGGGAAACGTGGAGGTGGATGCTGCTCGGCAGGGGCACGAGGTGGCTTGACCAGCAGGGATGTTTTGCCTCCGCCTGAGCAACACACCCCTGACCTTTTGGCTTTTCCTGTTGTCTCCAGAGATGCCTACCAGTTACTTACTTCCATGCTTTCCGGGAGCATGCTTTCATTGTATTGAGAGCTCAGGAACCACTTTGCTGTTAGACCTGAGTCTTCAAGCCCTGGGATCGCAGTGAGAAGCTGACAAAATGGGAATAAGGGTTTTGTTGTTTCTGGTGCTCTGGAGACTTGGGTTTGAAATTCCACTGGACAATGTTTAATGTGTTCATAATAGAGAATCTTGTTCTTTTCTTGTTTCTTGGGAGCAACAGAGAAGAAAATGGGGCAATGCTGTGGTAACAGAAACTTACCAACTTTAGTGATGAAACACATTGTGAGGCAGGGTCGTCTAACCACGGGAGACTTTTCCATCACCCACACTCAGCTGCCTTTCTCAGGGGAAGATGTGGACCCCCTGTCTTCAGTTTGGGGAGAGTCCGTGGAGGCTCTGAGAACCCTCTCTGTCTGTATCCCTGGCTTTGCAGACCACCTGGGTTTGATTCCTAGATTCCCTGTTTAAAAAAAAAACAGAACGTATAACTTGTTCTGACTCTTGAGGTTTCTGTTCGCTCATCTGGAGAACTGAGTGACTAATAGTGTCCACCACAGGATTCTTGTTAGATGGTCCTGCAAAGCAGTTCACAGAGCACTAAGAACGTGGTGAACACTCAGTCAGCTTTCATTCTTAACAATGGCACATGGAGATTGCTACCCAGTGTTTGAGGTATACATACTAATTGCAGGATAAAAATGAACGTTGATCATTTTCATGAGCAAAGGAAGAAAAGGTGAATGTCATAGGAGAGGTAGCTCACTGTAAATAAGGATTTCAGCTGTGTCTGTGGACCTTCAATTTGCCAGCGGTGTGGACAGCAAGAAGGCAAGAAGGCCAGACCGTTTAGCGTGGACTTCATCTCGTGATGTGGGAACAGGCAGCATCTCTGGTGTGGAATGGCATGCCAGACCAGAGATCTCAGGGCAACACCAGGAATTCTGCAGGCTGGGGATTGAGTGGTAAGCTGCCTGAACTTATATGATAGTAACCATTTATCTCTCCCCAACCACCCCACCTTTTTTTTTTCTTTTTTCTGATCTAGACTTTGCTGGACTATTTCTCAAAACCTCTAAGGGGACTTCCTTGGTGGTCCAGTGGTTAAGATTCCATACTCCCGATGCAGGGGGCAGAGGTTCAATGCCTGCTTAGAGAACTAGCCCCCACATGCTACATGGTGTGACCAAAAAAAAAAAAAAATTAAAAAAGCTTATTAGTAGTGATTCCAGTGTGAAATTTCTGGAGAAGAGAGGGGATTGTGTGTTGGCCAAGTGACTTTGGATCAGACAGACCTAGATTTGAGTAACAATCCACTTTTTCTTCTGCACTCTGGTACCTCATTTTGCTCATCTAGAAAGAAGAGATAGTAAAAGTATCTAGCTCAGGGGTTAGAAACATATGTGAAAATTGTATACAGTATATAGCATAGTGTCTGTTACAGAGCAAACACTCACTTGGTGCTAGCAGTTATTATGAATGGCTAATACAGATAAGTGTTTTGAAGGTAAAGAATATGTAGAATAGCAGGGGAATGTAAATAGGAATTATTGTTGTTCAGTCACCAAGTCATGCCTGACTCTTTACAACCTCATGGACTGCAGCCTGGCAGTCCTCCCTGTCCTTCACCATCTCCTGCAATTTGCCCAAGTTCACGTCCATTGAATCGGTGATGCCATCCAACTATCTCATCCACTGTCACCCTCTTCTCCTTCTGCCCTCAGTCTTTTCCAGCATCAGGGTCTTTTCCAATGAGTTGATGCTTCGCATCAGGTGGCCAAAGTATCGGAGCTTCAGCTGAATAGGAATAGGAATAGTAAATAGGAATAATTGGTGGGATTTTCTAAAAAGGGCTGTATTTCATCTTGCCTAGAATGTCTGAAGAATGTTGGAATAGGCACTCAGCTGTTGCTGGTTATTAATAATTGGACATTTCTGGTTTTTTCTAATTTGACATTTCTGTTTTGAGAAAAAAGCAAACTGTTATAGGCTAATTGTATCCATTTTCTAAAAAATTTATCCTGCTGTGGTCCTTATGATGTTTTGTCCACAAAATCTAGGGATAGCGCTCACCTTACGATCCAGTTTATTTTTTGAATCCTGAGGAGCAAGGTTGAAGGCTGGGATCTGCCTGTCCTGCTCTCCCTGTTGGGTGACTTGAGAGGTCATCTCAGACTCTCTGGGCCGTATCGACTTCGTACTTAGGAAATGACAGGGGGGGACCTTCCAGGACCAAATGCTGGAATCCTGTGGACATCAGAGGCTTGTCCTAAACAGGTTATGTTTTAGTTGTTGTTTAGTTGCTAAGCTGTGTCCAACTCTTTTGTGATTCCCATAGACTGTAGCCCTCCAGGCTCCTCTGTCTAAGGGATTTCCCAGGTGAGAATACTGGAGTAGGTTGCCACTTCCTTCTCCAGAGAATCTTCCTGACCCAGGAATCGAACCCAGGTCTCTTACACAGAAGGTGGATTATTTACTTCTGAGCCACCAGGGAAGCCCATTTTAGCCTTAAAGGGGAGTTTAAAGCAGTGAATCTTGTCCAGGAATATATCTATCCCATGCCGGCCATCTGGGGAGTTTGTGGACATGTTTTTGGTGGTCACAGTAATGGAAAGTTTTATCATCCATAAATTCCATTTCATTTCAGAAGAGTAAAATGGGCATTACCAAATGTTTGATATGAAAAAGGGGGCTAAGGGCCTGACAGGGTTAAAAACCATCTCTTTAAAGGGAAGCTAATGATAACAATAGTAACAGCTTTATTATAATAATATTATGATGATGGTACTGGGTTGCTAGGTTTGGGTTTGGGGAATACAGGAAGAAGGTGTGCTAAGGGTTCGCCAACCTTGTGTTCAGTTTGAGCTGATCATGGGCTGCAAAGTTGAAAACAGGACCAGAGGCAACAGTTGGGGATGTTTAGAGAACAGCCTGGCGGCCCCTTGCCTCCTGGGTTTTCCCAGCTCTCTCTGTCCTCAGGGCCTCTGTGACTTCTGTTGGCTTCTGCTGGCTGCAGAACCATGCATTCACACGGTGTCTTCGTTGACTGAGCCGCCTTCCAGAAGCGCATTCCTCCACACCCTCTGGGGAGCGGTAGGGAGGTGCCTGCCCATGTTCCTCTTAGAGAAAGCATGTTTCATCAAGCTCACTGCCTTTGAAATCTTTGGCAGGACTACAGAGAGCCTTTCTGATTGCAGTATCAGCTCAGTCGGCTTTTCCCTGAGTATGACATTTTCAATAATAATATTATTTAAAATAACATTTATTCTCAAATCATGGTCATGAGAACAGAAATAATGGATTTTATTAACACACACCATTGTATCAGGCACTGTGTTGAGTGCCTTAATGCTTACAAGAACACTACAGGGCAGGTGTCTTGATTTTCATACAGAAAACCTGAGGCTTGGGGAGTTTTAGTGACTTGCCAAAAATCCCATGGGCTGCTAAGTGATGGAGGCAGAATGTGAACATACATGGGTCTGGTCTCACTGGACCCATGTGCTCTGACTCACTCTGTTGTTCTGTGTCTGGGTCCTAAACTATCGGACACAGAGAGGTAGTACAGTTTGAAAGTATCTGATTATGTGTTTGCTGTGGTCGTTATTTAGTTGCTTAGTTGTGTCTGACTCTTTGTAACCCCATGGACTGTAGCCCTCCAGGCTCCTTAATCCTGGGATTTCCCAGGCAAGAATACTAGAGTGGGTGCCATTTCCTTCACCAGGGCATCTTCCCGACCCAGGAATCAAACCCACTCTCCTGCCTTGCAGGCAGATTCTTTACCACTGAGCCACCAGGGAAGCTCATAATTATGTGTTTATCTAATCTAAATGACCAAAAAGCCTTGACGTATCATGGAACCTCAAATCCAGTGATAAAGTTACTGGGGGTCTCCAGGGGCCAGGCACATGGTGGGGACCTGGGGCTGTGTGACGCTACTGTACTCAGGCCAAGCTGCAGACTCCTCTAGTAGCTGAAGGATGCTGGGGCCAAGGCCGGGAGAAAAACACAATTCTCCTGAGGATCTGCTGCCTGGATCCTTTCCCATGTACATATATTTCCCTGTTGGTCAAAGTTCAGGGCTACAATTCCTGTTCATTCCAGTCAGAAAGTTGGCAGCTTGATCAATGATTTCCTGAGCCTTGATAAGTGGTTTTCCTCTTTATGAGATACACTTGTTTTTTGAAGGTTTCCATGCACTTTGGTTTCTTTCTAGTGGAATTTCATTCAAATTAGTTTCCTAACAGTGATGCTTTCCAGGGCTCCTGGCCAAAGTAAATGGTGCTAATGAGGAATAAACAGAAACTTCAGGAAAGTCATGTGCCCCTAAGATTCAGTCATGGATATGGGCCTTTGAGATCCTCTAGTCCAGACTAGATAGGAAATTTATAGATAAGGAAGCAGAGTCCCAGGGAGAGGGAAAGCAATGTGTCCAGGGTCACGTCGGCAGTTCTAGCTCTTTCTACTGAAAGCACTTTCACTGAAGGGCTGTTATCAGTTATTTTTGATTCCAAAGGATGGTATCAATTATTTTTCTAACATTTCTCCTGTCCGAAACTTAACACAAAATTCCAGTGCATAAGAGGCTGTTGGTTGTCAGTCAATATAGATATCAGGATTTTAGACTTGTGTGCTAGGCACATGGGGCATTTTTTTTTCTTTTGATCTAGGCTGCTTTATGGTTTGTAAATGACCTGTTTTTCTTATAAAAATCATACATGTTCACCTTGTAGAAGAGGGGTGGGCAGACTACATCTTTGACCACATGGGTGACTTGTGTGTTTTTTGCAGATTAAGTGTTATGGTTGCACAGTCATGCCCCTTTGCCTACTTACTGTCTACAGTGGCAGGGTTGAGTAGCTGTGGCAGAGAACCTATAACCTGCAAAACCTAAAATACTCACTGTCTGACCCTTTGCAGTAAGAATTTGTCCAAACATGCTGTAAAACACCTGGAAAAAAAAATACAGAAAAGTACTGCTAAAAATAATGAAGTATTCACATCTTATCCTTAAAAGGCTCAGGTTGATTATAATTTAACCGTTTTCATAGCTAAATATTTTGAACATTTCTGATTGTTTCCTAAGGTTGAATTCCTAAAATAACTGAGCTAGTGTGGGAGAATGGTTTGCAGGCTCCTGGTCCTTTGTGTGGAATGTCTTTTGAGCTTGCCCTCCCAGCATCAGTGCCTGTACTTTGCCAACATCCAACAAACAAACATGACCCCTTTTGCTAACGGATTTGGTTTGCTTTCACCCACAAAGGGGCAGGTTCAAGGTGGTGGTCTGCGTCCTGTCTGCTGTTACAACGTGCCTGGCATTTGTCAAGCCCGCCATCAACAACATCTCTCTGATGACCCTGGGGGTTCCCTGCATGGCGCTGCTCATTGCTGAGCTAAGAAGGTGGGTACCAGTCTTTCTCCCTGGCCCTCAGGCTTTCCTTGGGATAGGAACAAACCAGTTCTTGGTTCTTTTATTGCCTTTGAAGAGGAGTTAACCCTCCCAAAGAGTCATCCCTGACTTGTAGATTAGGATCAAGTTGGATGGTTTGGTTCAAAATATTAATCTTGTTTTCAGAAAGAAGGGAGGAGTATAATCAATGTATTCTAATGATCCAAAAACTAGCTGCTTAGGAGGAACATCTCAGGACCTGGCAGGTGCCTAGACCAAGCTGCCTAGAGTTAACCCTGCAGAAAGGAGAATGTTGTGTTGCGTTTGTTAGTCCCTAAGTCAATCACAAGGACTATAGCCCGCCCTACGCCTCTGTCCATGGGATTTCCCCGGCAAGAATACTGAAATGGGCTGCCATTTCCTTCTCCAGGGGCATCTTCCTAATCCAGGGATCGAACCCATGTTTCCTGCATTGTGGGTGGATTCTTTACCACTGAGCCACCAGGGAAACCCAAAAAGGAGAATAGATGTGATATGAACACAAGTTCATATGTGTGACATGACAAGAGTAAGAAGAAAAGCAAAGTCCTGCGTTTATACAGAGGAGGAAAAAGAAATGAATGTCTGTATACAAAGCAGCCTTGCTACTTTCCCTGAGGCTTAGTTTCTTTCTCACAGCCTATCAAGTAAAGCCTTTTACTGTTTGCCTAAACATTTTCTTATGTCAGGTCTATGTGCAGAGTTCAGGTCGATACCCAGACACATTATTGGATTGGCCAAAAAGTTTGTTTGGATTTTTCTGGAAAGTTGTTTAGCTCTTGTGTGTGTTTAAGACTGTCTTAATCAGCCCTAACTAAAACACATCTAAATCACTACCCGTATTGTAATACTCTTTGAAAATGCCTTTTCTCTGTACCACTTTTAGAAATCCACTCTAATTCATGGCTTATTGTCATAGACACAGATGGTCTTAACTGAAGTCTTGTATTTATCCCCCTTTGTGAGAGTTTCTCTGTGTAGTGTATAATCAGCTTTCTCTCTTTGTTTTGAGTGGAGACATGTATATGTTTTCTACCATTGCTTTGCCTCTGGGGATTATTTTGATTATCAGCAATACCAGTCAAGGTCAGAGTTGGTTGTTGAAGGGGGATATAAACTTGCTGGCTGGCAGTGGAAGGACTGTCCTGTCTTGTCTTGTTGGCTTTGAATACCCTTCATGGACCTGGGAAAGAACAGACCCATTTCAGAACAGTAACAGAGCTTAAAGCTCTTTGGAAAACCATTAAATTGCCGATAAAGATATCTGAATGGATTTGTGTAGCCCAGTGATGCTGGCTGATATTAGGCCTGAAGTCAATAGAATGTTCTCTACTTAGCTATGTTTCTTGAGAATTCACTACAATCTAGTTTTCATTTTAACTCCTGAGTTTCATATGTTTTAATCTATCAGTTCAGTTCAGTCGCTCAGTTGTGTCTGACTCTTTGCGACCCCGTGAACCGCAGCACGCCAGGCCTCCCTGTCCATCACCAGCTCCCGGAGTCTACCCAAACCCATGTCCATCGAGTTGGTGATGCCATCCAAACATCTCATCCTCTGTCGTCCCCTTCTCCTCCTGCCCTCAATCTTTCCCAGCATCAGGGTCTTTTCCAATGAGTCAGCTCTTCACATCAGGTGGCCAAAGTATTGGAGTTTCAGCTTCAGCATCAGTCCTTCCAATGAACACCCAGGACCGATCTCCTTTAGGACTGGTTGGATCTCCTTGCAGTCCAAGGGACCCTCAAGAGTCTTCTCCAACACCACAGTTCAAAAGCATCAATTCTTCAGTGCTCAGCTTTCTTTATAGTCCAACTCTCACATCCATACATGATTACTGGAAAAACCATGGCCTTGACTAGACGGACCTTTGTTGGCAAAGTAACGTCTCTGCTTTTTAATATGCTGTCTAGGTTGGTCATAACTTTCCTTCCAAGGAGTCAGGGTCTTTTAATTTCATGGCTGCAATCACCATCCGCAGTGATTTTGGAGCCCAGAAAAATAAAGTCAGCCACTGTTTCCACTGTTTCCCCATCTACTTGCCATGAAGTGATGGGACCGGATGCCATGATCTTAGTTTTCTGCATGTTGAGCTTTAAGCCAACTTTTTCACTCTCCTCTTTCACTTTCATCAAGAGGCTCTTTAGTTCTTAGTTTTACTCTATAATTTTGTTCAAAACTGGCTATAGAAAGGGAAACTTTTAAATTCACATTAGCTAAACAAGAGCAAATGAAGGGGCAGGTTTTACAGAATAAATAAATTTTCCTTCACAATTGTGATCTTTAAGCAGGGAAACATTTTCCTTTAATACTCTAATCTTTTTAAGTAATTACAAAGGAAATAATTTCTATTCTATACTTGAAATTTTTTACCCCTGAAAAGCCAGTCATCATTACTGCTAATTAGTCTTCATCATGACCTTAAAAACTTGCAGCATTGTGGAAGTATTCCTCCTTCTATCTCTAGGGTCTATCTTTCTACTTACAGATTATCCCCTCCATTTCCTTTTCCTGTTTTACTCCTGTAAACTGTCTACTATGTCATCCCTCTCTCTCCAAAGGATCCTTCCCATTAGCTTGTTGAATTTCTCCCATTGTCTCTAACACCCAGCCTAGCCTCTATTACATCTGTCTCCGGCCATCACCCTTTCTCTCTCATCTGTCACAGCCATGCTTATTTAAAAGGTGTCTCCATCTGTTTCCTCTCATTTATTCTTCAAGCTACTCTAACCTGGCTTCTGTGTGCACTTTGATACCCAAACCCCTCTTGGTTGTACGTCCACTGATCACTTTTTAGTCCTCCTGAATTTTACTTGTTTTCCCAGCTCTCTGCACAATTCACCCCCTCAACCTTGGAACATTCTTTCCTGTAATTCCTATAACACCACATTCTCCTTTGTTTTTTTTTTTAACCAGTTCTGCGGCAGCTCCTCTTCAGCCCCTCGTGAGAGTGCCTTCTTTTCTATGCACCTGTCCATGCAGGGAACCCATAAGGGACACCCTCACGTCTGCTCTTCTCTCCCTACACTTTCCCCTAAAACCTCTCATCTACTCCATGCCTTTAATTCCTGTTCATATGCTGGAGAGAAAGGGAAAATGGAAATTGTTCATCTGTGTTTTAGTGACTAAACTGGAAAGCGGTCACTAATGTCATGGGGCTCTATATATTTTTTCAAAAATCTTTTCAAGGGGTACATGTAACCCTCCGACTGACAGGGCTTTTCAGGTTGTTTTTTGAGCAGGTCTTTCTGAGCCTGCTGTCCATCCCATATTCACTGATGCTTTTGCCTATGTTTCCATCAGACAGCTGGGAAAGGTACCAGGAAGTCAGACTTTAGACACCATTAACCTGTTCAGCAAATATGAACAGATAACATCTGCACCCAAGAAAGGGTCATATTTATGTTAGACACGGACTCCTGCAAGTGAGTGAGCTTGACTGACTGGGGTGCAGGCCTTTTAGGGACAGAGACCCCAAAGGAGGGGTGGAAGGGCCCTCAGCCACCAACTGCCTCTGGGCATTTCTCCCCAGGAGAAGAAGTCACCCTCTTTGTGAGCAATTTGGTAATAAGGAAGGAAAACGGCTGCTGAAGTTCCCCTCGAGCTGTTGGGGTTTGTTCAGAAACCCTTTGCCCCAGGGTGTGGAAGAGCTCATTCTTTCTTTCAGGAGAACCAAGAGCCTCCCTGAGCCTGACACCATCCCAGGTAGGGGAGACAGGCTGGAGGTACATAAATGAAGCACAGAGGGTATCGGCGAGGCTGTCATTGCTACAGAGAGAATTAGAGGGAAGAAGGTGATGGGAGCTTGGGGGTCACTTAGGAGGTGGAGACAGGTGGTGCGATTGTTAGGAACAATGCTCAGCCAAGGGCTTACTGAGGGACATTTGAACAAAATCTGGGAGGTGGCGAGCCCCGTGGCTATCTGGGAATAGCATTCCAGGAGGCAGAACAGCCAGTGCTGAGGCTTGGAGCAGCATGCCTGGGGTTTTGGAGGAAAGGCAAAGATTGCTGGGGGGTTTGATGAACAGAGGCAATGTGAGGCAGGTAGGGAGGACTGGGTGGAGTGCAGAGGGAAGCCAGCACACTGGGGCTGTGAGCACTTCGGCTTTCCCTCTGGGAAGAGAGAAGATGTGGGAGGCTCTTGGGCAGGGCGTTGAGAGGTGACTGTAGGAACAGGGGCAGATGGAGGTGGTTGCCATAACTCAAAGGGCTTGGACCCAGGCAGTGGTGATGGAAAGAGATTGGATTTGAAATATATATCACCGTGCTGATGAATTAGATGTAGGGTATGTGAGAAAGAGAACAATGACTCCAGAATTGGCCTGAGGTCCTGAAAGCACCCTTCCCCAAGAGGGCCGGGAGGAGAACGGGTATGGAATAGAAGAAAGGATCAGGAGCTCTTTGTAGACATGTGAAATCTAGATCAATACTGGCCACCGGGTGGATGTGTCATAATGTGACGTGTGGTTTGCAAGTCCGGAGTTAAGAAGAGGCCTGGGTGAGGAGTGTGGCTTTGTGAATCATTGGGGTATATATAGTGTTTATATCCTTGGGTCTGTGTGATGGGGCATTGGGTGGGAGCCCTGGTGCCAAGGGGCCAGGGAGGGTTAGGGCTGGAGGCTGGGGAGGTGTGAGGGGGCAGAGAAGTGGCCGGTGCGTTAGAAGGAGACCAGGGCTGACACACGCTGTTCTCTGCGTCTCTGGCAGGTGTGACAACGTGCGTGTTTTTAAGCTGGGCCTCTTCTCCGGCCTCTGGTGGACCCTCGCCCTCTTCTGCTGGATCACTGACCGGGCCTTCTGTGAGCTGCTGTCGTCTGTCCACTTCCCCTACCTGCACTGTGTATGGTGAGCCGCATCGTCGGGGGCAGGGGCTGGCGAGGCAGGGTCTGCACTCTCTGCCATCACTGTGCTCTCCCTACGTAGACTGTCGGGCGTTTCAGGGAGCAGGCTGAGCCAGAACAGACAGACCTAATTGCCTGTGCTTCCTGTCTGTGCTGTCTCTTACCTCCAGCTCCGTTATCAAAGCGGAAAGGAGCTTGGAGATTGAAGCTGTAACCTGAGCTCTAGCTAGATCTGCAGGGTAGGGGAATGTGGGGAAGGCTGGGGACAGATGTGATGTGGGGACAGGACAGTCCCAAATCAGAACCAAGCACTCCTGAGCCTGAGTGACCAGCCGGGGCCTCACAGGTCACCTGGGGACAGTCTTACCCATTCATCTGACACGTGGAGACACAAGTCCAGAGAAATAAGAGTGAATTGTTAAGGATCGCCCAGCTGGTTACATAAAACCAGCCCAGAAGCTTAATCATGGGGAACATGATCAAGCATCTATAGAAGGCTCAGGATGCACTGTTAGGTTAAGAAAAAGGTTATGAAACACCATGCAGGATCCTGTCCCCAGAAAGCAGAGGAGGAAATGGGGTGGTTTTCTTCCTGGGAACTGCTTCAACTACAAACCTAGCATCATCTTTCCCTCTCTGTCCTCCAGGACTTCTGATTGTGAGATATCAAGGGACGAGAAATCTTTAGAGTGCTCCTTGTAAGTTGAGAGCACCCAGGGAGGAATTCTAGTGGTAAGGAGTTGTTAAAACTTGTTAGATCCAGATTTGGAAGGAGGCTGACCTCTATCAGGAGATGCCTAAGATTATTCGATTTGAAAGAATTCTCTTGAATTCCCTGGGATGTTTGAACTTGTGTATTATCTACCATGAGACCTAAGCTGCTCTCAGGTTAAGACTTGGGGACTTCCAGATTTGTTCGCTGAAGGCAAAGCAAAGCAGCTCATGCTGGGGATTCCAGTCTTAGGATCCATTGCCTGATATATCTTAGGTTCAACCTCGACTCACATTAGTGAATTTATATACACTTCGTATATCTGAGTTATAATTTACAGATTATTAAATGCACAGATTTTGTGTAGTCTGGTAAGTTTTGATAAATGTATCCACCTGTGTAAAGAGGATCTCATTCAAAATATAGTACTTTCTTTAAGAATTTTTATTTTGTCTTTTGGCTGCTCCACGTGCAGCATGTGAGATCTTAGTTCCCTGTCTAGGGATTGAACCTGTGTCCCCTGCAGTGGAAGCTTGGTCTTAACCCGTGGACCACCAGGGAAGTCTCTGGTGTGTTTTTAATTGATCCAAGTTCCTTTATCACAGAGTGATTTAAGTAAAATTAAAAGTAGAGTGTAGTACCTTTGGTTCAAACTTAATTTGTTTCTAAATTTGGTATACTTTGAGGTTCCCCCCCCCCCGCCAAAGTTGAACAATTTTCTGGGATTTCCCTGATGGTCCAGTGGTTAACATTTCCAGCTTCTGTGGCAGGGGGTGCAACTTTGATCCCTATTTGGGGAACTAAGAACTCAAATGCTGTGTAGTGTGGCCAAAAACCAAACCAAAGTTGAAACTTTTTTTTTTTTTTTGGTTCCAGTTATAGTGATATATTTATTTATTACAACAAATTTAAACAACAGGGAAGTATAGAAAGAAATGCTTTTACAATTCTAATTCTGTCCAAAGAGAACAATTGTTAACAACCTAAAGTATATCTTTCCAGATGTTTAGTTCTCTAATTCTACTTTTAAAAACAAAAATAGCTTCATTCTATACATGATGCAAGCTGGTTCTTCTTTTGCTGTTTAAATCATGGACAACTTTTCTTACCAATGTATTTATATTATTTCCATCAGCTGTGTGTCCAGTTAATACCTCACAATATGGGTAATGCTAAGTAATTCATTTAACCAACTTCTCTGTCAAATGGATATTAAGGTTATTTCTAACTTTTCACTTTTACAAACAATTGGTAATGAATATCTGTATTTGTTCATATGACTGAATGTTCCCTTAGATTATAATATGTTGCCAAACCCAGAGATACCAACTGACACAATTTTACTAAAATCTGTAAGATAATAAAAGTGTATCTGTAAGATATACTTTCATATATACTGGATGTTAGTAACTTTAAAAAGTACTTGTTAACCTGATTGAGAAGATTTTATTTTCATATCTTTAAAAAAGTTAGTATTTTGTTGGACATCTTTCAAATGTCAATTTGCTATATCTTTTCTCTTTTGAAATGTGCCTTTTAAGTTTCTTTATCATCTGTGTGGAGTGTTCGTATTTAAAAATTTATATCCAGCCCGTACTTCGCGACACATAGTAGCGAGTCATTTCTGTCAAATACCTATGTGCCATTTATTATGCACATTTGTAACATTTTCAGAAGTATAGGGAGTAATACATGGAGCCCCCAGGAAGGCAACAGTTAGCTTCTGTATTAATCTCCAAGAGGCCAGTCTCATCCTTGCCACCCTCACCCACTGCCCACCCCACCCAGATTATTATAAAGCAAATCCCAGACACCCTGTGAAATGGTTGGTTTTTAGGGCTCTTCATCAGGTAGGGATTTTAATTCTTTGTCATATGGTACAACTATTCCCCGCTCCCCCGCCACTTTCCCATTTATCTTTTAGTATGTTAGTGATATCTTGCGCCATACTGTTTTAAACTTTCATTCTTTCACCTCTGTCAGTCTTTTCCTTTAGTTTTTTTTTCCCTTCTCCCTTCTACATGCATTACAGAGTGGCTGTGACATCCCTTAAATGACACTGTTCTCAACTGAGCAAACTGGTAGTCCTCTTACAACCTTCTTTATTCCGGGCGTGTGTGATGTTTATATGTTTGGCTATGTTGGGTCTTCGTGGCAGTCGTGGACTCTTCTTGTAGTTCACGGGCTTCTCTCTGGTTGCTGTTCGTGGTTCTAGAGCATGGGCTCTGTAGTTGCCGCGCTCGGGCTTAGTTGCCCCGTGGCATGGGAGATCTTAGTTCCCTGACCAGGGATTGAACCTGCGTCTCCTGCCCTGGATGGTGGCTTCTTCACCACTGGACCACCAGGGGGGTCCCTGTTCCATGTGTTTTTAAATGTAGAGACGTCCATTACATGTGGCTGCCACAGTGATCCCCTCTAGGGTTTCAGAACTTTGTGTCATTTTAAGAAAGACCTATTCCAAGGTTTATAAAAATATTCTTTTATTTTTAAAAGAATATTATAAACGAATATTTATAAAAATATTCTTTTAAATGTGTTTTTTAAATGTATTTAAAATCTTTAATTTACCTGGAGTTTTAAGTTTCAGTATAAGGTGTAAAAGTTACATGCCTTTAAATGGTCCCCATGATAAAGATCAATATGAAAACTTTCTACCAGCACAGTGAAGATAAATAAAGCGTTTCCTTACTAAAGTGCAAAAGCTGATGAATCAGTGTAAAATTATTTCTAATGAAGGGTGTTAGATATGTGCAGCCCATTATTAAAGTGAGAAGCAGCGAATCAGTCCCATGTGCTCAGTTATTTCCATTCTCTCAATGCCTCTGTTTTCTTTTTTATTTTAATTAAATTTGTTTATTTATTTACATGTCAATCTCAAACTCCCAATCCATCCTTCCCCGCCCCCCGCCCCCAACCATAAATTCATTCTCAGAGCTTGTGAATCAGTTTCTGTTTTGTGAATAAGTTCATTTGTATCCTTTTTCTCTCTTTTCTTTCTTTTGGGCCATGCACTGTGGCCTGTGGGATCTTAGTTCCCCAACCAGGGATCGAACCCTCGTCCCCTACAGTAGAACCACAGAGGCTTAACCACTGGTGCGTCCGAGAAGTCCCTATATCCTTTTCTTTTTTCTATGTTTTGCATATAAGCGATATCATATTAGTGCTTCTGTCTTAAACCCTTGTTTTCTGTGGAGCCCCAAAGGCATTGGCAAGTTTTTCCTGTTATCAGGCTGGAATGTTTTAGAACATTTCAAGAGAGGCTTTGTTAGCTCAGAATTTATCACTTGTGTGCTATTCCGGGGGTGTGGGGCTCCCTCACCCCTTCTTAACTAGAGGAGGCCCCTGCCAGCCTTTGCACCTGGGAAAGGGGTTAGCCTGGAGGGAGCGGGGTGGAAGTCCGGCCCAGTCCCCCTGTCTTGGGCCCTCACGCGTCTGTCTCCTTCGCCAGGCACATCCTCATTTGCCTTGCTGCCTACCTGGGCTGCGTGTGCTTTGCCTACTTCGATGCTGCGTCCGAGATCCCCGAGCAAGGCCCCGTCATCAAGTTCTGGCCCAGCGAGCGCTGGGCCTTCATCGGCGTCCCCTACGTGTCCCTTCTGTGCGCCAACAAGAAATCCTCGGTGAAGATCACATGAATGGCAAGGCGGTGACTGGCCTCTCTGCCCCCTAACCTTCACCTGCCCGCGCAGCCAGCCAGGGTGGGGCTTTCGCAGAGTTGGGAGTGGGGTCTGTCTTTTTAAAATTCTATTCCCTTGGGACCTAACTAGAGTGTCTGTGGACCGCCAGGACTCCACAGTGCCTGGGGGCGAGAAATGCTTGCCCAGAGCTGGGAAGCAGGTGGCCAAGGGGCTCTGGGTGTGTATTCTGTGTCACCTCCGGCTGCAGGTTGGGCTGCGTCCTTTGTGCTGATGGCAGAGCCGTCCAGTGGAGGACCCCTCGCTGCACATGCCTTGCCTCCGGGCCCAGCTGTCCCCATGTGTTCCAGGAGCCGACCCTGCTGTGACAGACACATCCTGCATCAGATGAGACCCTCTGTCGAATGGAAGAAGCCAGAGCCTTTCATCTCAGGCCACCGTCCTAAATCAGAAGCAGACAAATGGAGAACACACAGGGCTTGTGCCCTCGGAGGCTGGCTTCCCCCTGCAGAGCCCCATAACCCGAGGTTTACATACACGTGTGAACCCCCTTCCTGCTACCTCTGCTGAGAGATGGAGACTTGACTACAGATCCGGGTGAAGCTCACGTGCAAAACCCTCTATGCCAAAAAACCACACTCCACTTTAAGCCATTCTGGAAGATGAGCACAATCTTTAAACGCTGACATGGTTTGCCTCCCCAACCCCACCCCAGCCCAGTATCCTCAAATACAAAGAAGAATAGCTGCGGTGTGAGTGTTCCATACACAGACTCCTCCCCTCTTAGTGCTTGACCTCTGTGACCTTCCCAAAGGCCCGTGACAATCGCGGTAGGGATCCTGGTTCAAAATTTGGAGCAAATGTGAAGTCTGAGAAGTTGTTCTCATTGGAAGCCTCTTGTCTGCTGTCCTGTTCTGGAAATTACCGTCAAGAATCTTGCCTCTTCTTTCTTTGATATCTACTGTGGGAATTACTCTCGGTATTCTCACAGGATGAGGTGCTTCCTGCAGCTTCTCCAGTCATTTGACCACTTGCTTTCCTTAAGTGCTGGCTGTAATTATTCACTGGCTGCTTTGGGGGCAGCAGGGCAAACCTCTTGTCCTCTGAGTTCTTCTCACCTAAAGTCATACTGGCTGCAACTCATCTCCTCTTCACTGGGCTGAATGGAAGACCCCACAGGTATCTTCAAGGTGCGAGGTGGGGATTCATGACCTCAGGGATACTCGTGTTAACTCAGGCATCTCTTGCTTTGCAACATTCCATCACGGGAGCGGGCAGAACAGATGTGTTCTTCTCATGTGGGTAGGAAGCATGTCAGTGTCCTCCGTGTTTAAGAATGGGGCCGTAGCAATTTTGGCTTGTCTGGGCACTCAGACTCTCGTTAGAACTTGCACAGGATCAAAAGGTGAAAAGTCCAAGGAGCAACTGAATTTAGAAATGAATGACTTTACTCTACTTCTGTGGTTTTCAAATGATTTTAGCAGAAGAACCCTGTTGGCCGTAAGGCGTCTTTATGGAGACCTAATATGTGAAATAAGTTGTATTTTATTAGCTTAATTTTATTTTGAGGTTAAGCTTGCAGCATTTCCTGAATAATATGAAAGGCAATGAAATGCAAAGTAACAAATTGGTGGTTTCCAGGTTAGAAAGTTTTGGTATGGAATGAGTGTCCATGTTGCTTTATTGTAGTTTAAAAATCAGTGTTTGAGTTAAATACTCATGGAATCATGAACATATGAATATGAGACCTAGGTGGCTTGTGGAACAGTATTGGAAAACTGCTCTTTAAGTCCTTTGGGTTTCAAGACTAGAGTTTTCTTTAAAGGGAGCTGTCAGACCATCCTGTTTTCAGACTGTCTCATCCATGCTGAAGGAGAAAAATGCTCTGAGCGGGGAGTTGGTTGTATTTTAAGCCCAGCTCTTTTAATGGGAAAAAGTAAGGAGAAGCAGAGTGTAGGTAATGATTTGTGTGTGTGAGGTTTAGCTTCTGTCTTGAAAGTCCCTCAGTGATGGGAGCACTGTCCCAGCCATCAGGGAGGGACCATTCCTCCTGATGGAAAGAAGGGCATGTTCCTTGGAAACCACCACCTCCAGCCCCAAAGGCTTTGGCCTGGAATGACCTTGGAAATGGGGATGAAATGCGACTCTGCTAGAAGTAAAGAAGTAAGTGCCCTGACTTACAGGGCTATTTCTCTTCTTCTGCACGACAAATGACTAAGTTTCAGAAAGAATGCTTTTGTTAGGAAAAACAAAACACCCTTCTAGCACATGCGTGAGTGCTCAGTCCAGTCGTGTCTGACTCTTGGCGGCCCCACGGACTGCAGCCCGCCAGGCTCCTCTGTCCATGGGATTCTCCAGGTGAGAATACTGCAGGGGGATGCCATGCCCTCCTCCAGGGGATCTTCCCAGCCCAGGGATCAAAGCTGAGTCTCTTATATCTCCTGCATTGGCAGGAGGGCTCTTTGCCACTAGCCCCCTTCTAGAGGTTGATTTTAATGGTATGAGGCCGAGAAAAAGTGTGAAATAGGGTGTATTTGAGGAAGACAAGTCTTCACTCTATGTCTGAACAGAAATCACTATGTTTACCAGTGTGGGATGGTAAATCAAGAGAGTAGGAATATGCCAATCTTACTTCGTTTGGATTATGGCATCATTCATATTTATATTTACATTTATAGTCATAATACTCTTATAGCACTACATGCTTTTTAAGGAAAATGGGGATATCACAGAAAAGTTAACGAGAAGAAAACAAAGTAATCTATTTCTATGGCTCAAGGACAACCACTGTTAATATATTTTGGCATATTTCCTTCTTATCTTTTTTTCCCTAATACAGTTGTAAATAGATGCCTTTTAGAGCTGACAGTTGATTTTGTACCTTGAATAGAATAAAATGCCAGTCATATTTTTCCTGAAGAACAGGTTTTGGGATATTTGAGAGTTAGCTATATTCTTGAGTGTTCATCACTGGATTGTAAGACTTACTATTGAGTCTTCCCTTTTTAGTTAAGCCTAACATCAATGGGCCCTAAGAAATAATGAATTCTACTTTTTGATATTTCTGCACTTAGATGGATGAGTCCTAGAAAATAGCTGTTAAATATTTAGTTGTACAGGTTTTGATGTAAAGAGTGAATAGCTTATTTCATTCCTTGATGTGCAATCAAGAATCTTTTTATCCCCCCTGGTCATTCAAGGAGGTGGAGATTTGACAGTTAGGAGTTAGGTCATGACAGTTACTCAGCATGGCTATTAGATATTTCTTCTGGTGAGGATTTACCTAAGATTGACACCCAGCAGGAACTGGATTTGGAATATTAAAAAACAAAACATTAATGTAACAAGTGATCATTTAAGTTAATGATTCTTATTTTATAGTGTCTGATTTTTAGAAAATGTTTCCTCCTTTTATTATTTTAATGTAAAACCAGCACTTCAGTGACTACATTGCGGGTGTCTGGGGATAAGATGCCTGCATCTGTTTGGTAATAGGCTACGCTTGGGGGGTGCTCTGCGCCTGTCCCCCCGAAGAATGCCTGGAAGACATTCCTTGTGGATCAGAGATGTCCATTTGGGAGACCAAGCATGATGGTCATCAAGCACAGGATCTGTAAAAATACCATCACCTATGCTATTTATTGGACTTCTCAGGTATGTAAAAACTTCTCATTCATTATGCTTACGTGAGCTGGCGCCATTCTGGAGGCTTCAGAACTGAGGGGTGAGCCCCCCCTGGCTGTTTATCGCTCGGGGCCGGTGTGGAACCATCTGCCTGGGGGACAGGTGAGCTCGCCTGGCCACAGCCTCCCTCATAGCTCCTGGTTCCCAGATGAACCTGGAACCCCTAATAGTCAGCTCTTTGCCTGGTTGCTGCTGATCCAGCTGGTCAAAGAGTAGTCTTGGGCTAGGTTGGGATTCTCAATGGATTTTGTAGACATCATTTTCCTACAGATTTTTTAATGGCCCCTACTTTAAAGAACTCCTTGTTTGAATTGTAGCTTTCCCTATTTGTTAAACCAGTTCTGAGAGGATTTTGTAACCACAGTGTGTAATTAGAGCAAATAGATACATATTTTCAGGTATATACCTTGTTCTGTACTTTATATAGGGTGTTCTGTATAAGGGTAGTGGGCCCACTGGCTGTGGTAGCATTTAACCTCTGTTACATTGGGAGTAACTGAAGGCCTTTTGAAATGGAGCTTGTGCACTTTATGCTCTTTTTGTGAAGTGACTGTGATGGCTATGTTTGATATTAAAGCCCTAGGGGGCATTTTCTGTGAATGAATAGGTATATGTTTGTTTATTTCCAAAATGATTTCTGCAACAGCTGCTATGAGAAATACATTTAAGGGACTGCATCAGTTCATAGCAAATAGATGGGGAAACAGTTGAAACAGTGGCTGACTTTATTTTTCTGGGCTCCAAAATCACTGCAGATGATGATTGCAGCCATGAAACTAAAAGATGCTTACTCCTTGGAAGGAAAGTTATGACCAACCTTGACAGCATAGTAAAAAGCAGAGACGTTACTTTGCCAACAAAGGTCTGTCTTGTCAAGGCTGTGGTTTTTCCAGTGGTCATGTGTGGATGTGAGAGTTGAACTATAAAGAAAGCTGAGCACCGAAGAATTGATGCTTTTGAACTGTAGTGTTGGAGAAGACTCTTGAGAGTCCCTTGGACTGCAAGGAGATCCAACCAGTCCATCCTAAAGGAGATCAGTCCTGGGTGTTCATTGGAAGGACTGATGCTGAAGCTGAAACTCCAATACTTTGGCCACCTGATGCAAAGAGCTGACTTATTTCAGAAGACCCTGATGCTGGGAAAGATTGAGGGCAGGAGGAGAAGGGGACGACAGAGGATGAGATGGTTGGATGGCATCACTGACTCAATGGACATGAGTTTGGGTAAACTCTGGGAGTTGGTGATGGACAGGGAGGTCTGGCATGCTGCAGTTCATGGGGTCGCAAAGAGTCGGATACGACTGAGTGACTGAACTG